GAAGGAGGGAAGGAGGGAAGGAGGGAAGGAGGGAAGGAGGGAAGGAGGGAAGGAGGGAAGGAGGGAAGGAGGGAAGGAGGGAAGGAGGGAAGGAGGGAAGGACAGACAGATTGATTTACCACCATACCCTCACAAAGTAATTCAGATATAAAAGAACTTTTCCAAAAGCAGAATCTTGACAGCATTGTTCTAAGTTAGCTTCCTGGCTAAACTACCAAGCCTCAGTTCAAAACAAAATTTTTTTTTTTTTTTTTTTTTTTTTGTCACTGATCTCAATGACTACATAAACTATTTTTGCTATGCTTGAACTACCTAAAAATCTAGGGTTCCCAAGGCCAGCACATGCTCATTAGGATAAATCCCAGCATCCAAAAAAACTCCAAGCTGTTGCAGGGTTAGCTTTTAGAGCATGTGAAAACAAATAGTGTACTTTCGTGTGTGGGACAGCGGGTCTAAGAAGATTACCTAAGGACCTTTGAGCCTACAAGATCTAGCTTCTCCTCATTCCCTAAGTCTCTAACCTCATCGACAGGAGGCCAGCCCTTCCCAGCCATGTGCTCACTATGCCCAAGCACTGTCTGCTGTTCCTCCATGGCACCACGCCAGCTTCTGCACTGGTCCCCTTGAAGATATGCACTCTCCCAGGCCACCCAGGTCTCTGTTTCAGTGACAAGGCCAGAATCCTTCTCTGCCACCCAATCCCAAAGAGCCCCTAGGCAGGCACCATTATATTCTCTGGATTTATGTAGCTCATAAAACACTTTCCCTCTTTAAAGTATCTTCTGCATCAGTTGTCCTCCTCTCCTTGCTGTAATGCAAGTGCCAAGAGGCCTTCTGTTTGGTTCATGGCTCAATCTTCAGCATCAGAAACAAGTGCTGGTCAAACAAGACACCTAAATTAGAGAATAAATTTCCCCAGTTCCATCCTAATTTTCCTGTCTAATCTTGATGTGTGACTGAAATTAATTATTCCAGGAATAAAATGCTAAAAGCTCAATTATTAATTTGTAGGTATGCCCAAACTTTGACACTGTTATATAACACTGTCACCTATACAGTTCATGCCTGAGAAATCAGCAATCAAAATTTTCAGATTCATGATTTTTGTGTTGAGAGGCAACCATCATTGTGTCTGGGCTCAACAGCTATCCAGCAGGTAGGTACATCTGGATCCACTTGTTCTTTCCAGTGGGACACATGGGTCTCTTGCTGAATATTCCTGAAAGCTTTCTGGAATTCTTCTCCTGATTCAACTGTCTTCTTCCTTGACTGTCCTCTCTAACACCATCCACTCCTTTATTTTATCAAAGAGCTCACCTATCTATCCTCACAGTCAAAAATACCAGTATTTTAGTAGGATACAGGCTATCTCCGCTCCAATTTTTTTCGCCCTAGAGTTCCAAGCTCAGCAACTCTTAGGAAAGCTATGTACCATTTGTATTTAAAGAACAAGTACATTTCCTTCTGCCCACCCCATCGCTTACAGTGGCATCAGCTGTCACACTCATTCTCAGTCCCATCAATCATTTGTCACACTTTCACTTCTCATTTTAGTTAAAGCATTTGGTTCTCTTGTTCTTTTAAATCTCTGCTTGCATCTAAAAATGTCTTCCATTTTTATTCTCATTACACTATCAAGATCACCACACTGAGAAGGATATTCCTACAAACTTTCACCATTTTAATCACTAGACAGAACCTACACATATCTTGTAATCCATCCTAGCAACAATCAATACTTTTGTGGAGGTGCAAAGAGTACATCGCTGCTGATCTAATTCACGTACCTAACATGAAGGCTGTTTGCACACAAGAACTAACATGTAAGGAGAGGAGAACATACTCACACTGAGCAACTGGTCTTAGTTACAACCCAGTGACTCTACATCCACCAAGAACATTTCCTCCAGGAAATAATTATGCATTAAGGCGGCCTCACCTAAATTATTTCACAATACAAGCATCTGCCTAGTGCATAACTCTTATTTTGAGGCAGGGTCTCACTCTGTAAACAGGCTGGCCTCACACACATGGTGATTCTTCTGCTTTCAGCCCCATGATTACAGGTATGTGCCACCACGCCTGGCTCGAAGTTTTTAACTACTGTAAATTATTTTGTGTAAAACTCTACTCAATGACTGAGTAAAGTAATTATTTGGAGTCCAGTCCTGCTTAACTTAGAGATGAAAGGTCTCAGGATTGTTTTTCTTCTTTTGAAGCAGTTTCTCTCCTCTGCTCCTAACACCCTAGGAGACCTCAAATATATAATTTAAAAGAAAACTTCAACATAGTCTTTGATCTTTTGCTCACTACTTCGTTTTCTAGGTGCAGAAAACTGACTCTCTGGCTAACACACTGTTATACTGAACCTGCTTTTCTTAATTTAGTGCATATACAGTGGAATATACTGTTAGTCTCTTCAAAAAGACACAACAAACTGTGCCATTGGCTGTGACTGCTGACAGACATTTGTAAACTAAGCTTAAGATTTCTTCTGTAGAGCCTGTCAATTCCTTTAAACATATAGTCAGATATAATGTGCTTGTTTTATTAATAAGAATCCTTAAAAATTATTCTTGCCTCTCTAAAAGAATTGTGTTTTGCTTATTATTGTTGCTATTCTCTCTCTCTCTCTTTCTCTCTCCCCTCCCTCCCTCCTTCTCTCCTCCTCCTCTTCCCCTTCTCCCTTTCCCTCTCTCTCTCTCTCTCTCTTTCTCTCTCCCTCCCTCCCTCTCTCCTCCTCCTCCTCTTCCCCTTCTCTCTCTCTCTCCCCCTCCCTCTCTCCTCCTCCTCCTCTTCTCCCCCCTCTCTCTCCCCCTCCCTCCTCTTCTTCCTCCCCTTCTCCCTCTCCCTCTCCCTTCCCCTCCTCCCTCCCTCTCCGTGTGTCCGTGTGTGTGTGTGTGTGTGTGTGTGTGTGTGTGTACAAATGTATGAGGCCAGAAATCAAATCCTGGTCTCTTCCCTATCGCTGTGTACCTTCTTCCCCTTTGAGGCAGTCTCTCTCATTGATCCCTGATGGAGTTCACCAATTGGTAAGAACACCTAGCTGCACTGAAAGCTCCCAAGATCTTCCTATCTTCCTCCCTCCACTTTCCAGCCACATCTGGCTTTTTATCTGTGCCAGAGATTTGAACTCAGGTTCTGATACTTTACCTACTGAGCCATCTCTCCCACCCCCAGAATGAAGCTTTTTAAAATATAACATGTTTATAGTACTTTCTGACTCATCCAGAAAACAGCCTCCAATCACAGCTTTGCCACTTTATCACTTGCTCAGAGCTCATCTTCTTATGTCTAAGATAAAAATGGGTGAAGCAGATCATTCCTAAGTGATTATTTACTCTACAAATATTCACATCCGGTACAGCCCATGAAGGTAAGATCAGAAGGAATTTTACCTCATCTCTTTGCCACTACTTTCTCCTTTACAATTATCATTCAGAAAACCACAAGCTAAATTTTACACACACACACAAACACACATCGAATGGGACCAGGAGACAGTCTCACTAAGTAGTCTTGGCTGGCCTAAAGCTCCCTATGTAAACCAAGGTAGCCTTGAACTCAAAGATTGCCATTCCCAGAACTGACACGGCAACTCACAACTACCATTAACTGCAGTTCCAAACCCAACACCCTCTTCTAGTCTCGAAAGGCTCAAGGCATGCATGTAGCACACATACATACATGTAAGCAAACATTCATACACACCAAAGTAAAATCTTTTTAAAAAGAAAAATGGCAATGAACAGAACAGCAATTTTTGCATATCACAAGCCTTACAAGGAATTTGTTTCTAAAGCATACAAACAATCTGTTTACAACTCATTGACACAAATGACCCAATTTTTAGATGGCAAAGAGTCTGAACAGATATTTCACACAGGTATGCAATCACTCAGCCAACATATGCTCAGTGCCTGTTCTAACATCTGTCCTTTGTCCTTAAAAACCTGAGGAGGCTTCTGAAGCAACTAATTGACCCTTGTTTTCAAGGTGACTCAAATCAATTTATATAGGAGCTTCTCCCAATCTTGAACGACTGCAGCACAAGCCCAAGGGCTTCTCAGCATTCTGTCTGACTCCTCAACCCCAGACACCTTTCCCCACTTCAATGGAATCAATTCATTTCTACAGGCATAAGAAAAAAAGCTATCTAGAATTTACCTCATTCAGCTTGGATTTGTCGATTTAGCCATGTCATCTTACAATGCCCTTGTTTTAGGGAAGTGATATGCCAGTTTTAGCCAGTCGTGAGATAAGTAGTATTTTAGCCAATGGCATGGTTTCACATAGTTGTAAGGCAGAGTACCTCAAAGGGCAGTTGAAGATCTCCACACTATTTTTACAGAAATGCTCTCCAAGTGAAAAAAACAGACACCTCAGTACCACCTGGAGGGCATGCTGTTTCATATGAACATCCTACCACACTGACTAGATGACCTCAAATAGTAAAATACTATTGTTCTCAGTTCAGCTTCATGCACAGATCAGTCATTTAGAACTTACTAATCAAGGCTAATTTCATAAGTGTATTATTAAGTCAGTTAAAGTGTGTAGATGTAAAAATGTTCCTAATTTCTACATGAGATTTCAAGTTAATTATAGTAAGTAAACAAACGCAGATAAGTATAAAAATCAAGATAAACCACAATATTTACTTACATATAGTGGAGCTTGTTGTGGACTAAGTTTCATGACCCAGGACACTGAAACAAACAAAAAAGAAGAAATAGATGAGAATAAGACCAAAATTTTGTCAACCAACATTAAAACAAAACAACAGCTAACAGTTGTAGATGACTCTGTGAATCTAACCCCAAGTCTGAGTGGTGTACGATCATCTCTCCTTGGAGATCTAAGAAAACGGAAGTCCATAGGCTATGGAATACTTACGTTCTAGTCTTTTCAGAAGGGGGATGAGTTTTCAGATTGAAAAATCAAGGTCAACAGCTTCACAGTAAACATCCTCAATTGAGCTTTCACATGATATCCTAAGCTCATCAACTACTGCTTACCAGAGCATGAGCCCAAAACCCCACTAGGAAGCTTGTGTTGAAAGTAGGTAACAGAAGACCACTAAAGCACTCTCTATTTCTGCCTTCTCCTCAGAAAAGGAAGGCTACAGTTTGCCTTTAACAGCTAATATCAACGGTCAAATTTCTGTAGATGATTCTCACCAAAAAAAAATCACCACCACCACTACCAACAATAACAAAAACGAACAGACACTCTGAGATAGAAGGAATAAAGCTCACAAGGCCTGAACTCTAGACAAGAAACTGTAACTAACTAAGCAATGCCGAGAGCAGGAGAAATCACCTTCCCCAGGGAAGGGCACACCAAGTGATTGTTCAAGACCAAATGGTCAGCCCTGAAAACACATTCACACACCTAACCTAACATTATACAAACTGAGCAAGTTGTATTTATATATTTAGGAATATACACATATAACAACAATAACTAAATAGAAAGAGGACATGAATTTGAGAGAGAGCAAGAGGGGTACACAGGAGGTGTTGGAAAAAGAAAAGGGGAAGGGAAGAAATGCTGTAACATAACCTCAAAAAATTAAAAAAATCTTAAAAGATACCACCCCAGAAAAAAAAATAGCATATTCTTAAAAGTTAGGCTTGGTAATTTTATTGGGACACCAGAACAGCAGGTCCTTCACCCTTAAATATAAACTGACCTGACCTCAGCTAAGTCAGAGGAGATCAAAGTGACTCGATTAAAATTTCATTTGAAGTTTTACTCCTAATAGATAAATTAAGACACATATTAACCAGCAACCCCAGCAGTATAGAAACATCACTCAATGAAAAACAGTAGGTAAACTGCCACCATGAGTTCTCACAGATTTCAAAAACTCAACAATAAAACTGGAATCTAGACAGCATAAAGTTAGAGGTTTTCAATTGTCAAGTTTTCATGATCACAAATAATCTAAACACACTTTTCAAAATAAGCATCCTTGTAGAACTTCCACAGATCAAGCTGTGTGTGTGTGGGAGGGGGGGAGATTTTTTTCAATACTCACCCCCGAAGCAACTAACATATATGGGGTGAGGGATTCCATTATTCTAGTAGTAAATCATTTCCAACCAGTTCTATGCCATAGGCAAGCTCCCCCATGTTTGATAAGGCACCTCTACAGCCTCCCTTGCTCATTCTATAGTTAACTCCCCACAATGTTACTGCTCTCAGGCCTGCAGTGCTTCTTCCTCCTTGCCCACATTCATTTAAGGATTTTGAACTTAGAGGTATTAAAATCACTGAAAACTAAAATCAGAAATCTATCAGATCTTTTTAATAGAAAAGTTAAATATACTTCAGGCCATTATAGTCAAATAGGAAACAGATTAAAAAGAAAGGTTAGGGCCTGGAGAGGTGGTTCAGTAGTTAAGAACACTTGTTGCTCTTCCAAAGGACCAGAGTTCAGTTCTCAGCTCCCGTATCTCCTGCAGCTGCCTGTAACTCCAGCTCCAGAGGACTCAATCCCCTCTTGTGGCCTCTTTGAGAAACTACACACAAGTGAACACAAATCTGCACACACAAAGTTTAAAAAGTAAATAAAAGTAATCTTTTTAAAAAAGATGTTGATGAGCTTGAACAGCTTTTCAGTGCATTAAACTTCCATTTCATTTTAAGTTGCAAGCCTTTTAATCAGTTTTTCAGATCCCATTCAGACCTGCCTGGGATGCAGAATTGGAAGAAAATATAAGTTTATGAGTCAATGTGCCTTGACTAATTTATGAAATGGTTCTGCCATTATACACAGTAAAATAATATTAGTTACACAGACATAGAAATTGATACTCCAGCAATCCATTAAGACTAAAGGACTGGCGGCATCTATGATGAGAAGCAGCTTGACTCACTAGCCACCTTATAAAATGTTCATGATTTGCTAAGAAAAAAATAAAATGCTGGTTTCAAGTGGCTTCTCTAAGTGGCTGCCACCATACTGAATGAGAGCAATCACATGAGGGAAGGCAGCTGATGCTGTCACAATAGTGCAGAATTATAAACTCATCTAGACATGCGACAAACCAGTCTCATACACGGCGCTCCAACATGAGGATTAAAGAGGGATGACAAAGTGTCTGCCAGCCTACACTTTTCAAAGAGTCAGATCAGTGTTACATTGGCAACACAGGGCACCAGAAAGAATCCATCTGTCAAAAAGAATAAAAGCAACGACCAGAAGGCTCCAGGAATGGATGGGGAACTGGATGACTTTTAGGCTCCTTAAAATGCTGACACACAAGAAGAGAATTAACTTTAACAGCACTTTTCATGCTTCTTTTTTTGTTTGTTTGTTTTTTTGTTTTGTTTTTCAAGACAGGGTTTCTCTGTGTATCTCTGGCTGTCCTGGAACTCACTCTGTAGACCAGGCTGGCCTCGAACTCAGAAATCCACCTGCCTCTGCCTCCCACATGCTGGGATTAAAGGCATGTGCCACCACTGCCTGGCCTTAACAGCACTTTATATTTGATGTTTTATTCCTTCTCCACAGAGCATTCTATTCTCCTCTTTCATTGATTCAAAGAATGATTACTTAACACTTGGGGACAAAAGAGGAAAGAGCCAAAATCTGTCCAATATCAGCATGTAGACGTCTCTCCCCATGTCATCAATTAGGAGTCTTTGTCAACAAGATCTGCTAAGACCTCTCTGCAAAGAAAAAGTAGTGAAATGTTTTATTAATAACACCTAATAATCTCATCAAGTAATTTTAAGAAAGCTTTACAATGTCTTCCTTAGACAGTAACCTAAGGCAAATCACAAATTCAAATGAGTTGCTTTCAGCTAACAACAATAAAGAAAAGTACAGACAGGGAAAGCTGTCTAACATTTGAACTAAAAAGAAATACCAAAATTCAGTCTTAAACAGTATGATGTTATGAAGAATGCTCACAAATCTTTAACTCTGTAAAACTAGTTAGAGTTAAAATGAGTCCTAAATCCAATGGGTGTGAAATAAGCGAGTGACAGTGACCAGGTGCTTCTGTTCTTCCCACTTTATTTTATAATGTGGAGGGAACACAAATTTCCTATTTTACTGTTGTATAAAAGTGGTATATTCACTTTATGTTAAGACAAGACTCATCCAATTTTAATGCAACTGTCTTCAATCATATAAGTTAACATTCTCCTGTACTTTGATGTAAACTACTACCAGGCTTTTCTTCACAGGGTACAGTGCAGACACCATGATTAGACTGCTGCAGTTAGGTGTGCGATGTTTACAAAAATAAACAATAATAAACATTTTGGAAGTTTTGGAATTATTGCCTATAAAGGGGTTTGTAGAAATTCAAATGAGATTGGACATGTTCAGGGTGGTATGGCCGAAAATGATGTGTAGAAATTTAATCACTATACAAGATATCACAGAAACTAAGGCATGAAATTCTATGGCTGTAAGGCTGACCTGAGGGAAGGGGGTGGGGACAGGAAACAATGTGGTTTCGTAAATGAGTGAGAAATCTTAAAGGCCACAAGATTACAAACAAATAATTATAGTGTCCACAAACACTGTTTAAAGACCAGGTTGCAAATATTTGAAGTTTTATGGTTCATGTCTCTAATACAATATGTAAAAATTAATAGACGTGTAAAAGGCAGTTTGCTAGATGTGCAAAACTGAAAGAAAAACAAAACAACTAAAATCTTTACTAACAGTCTCTACAGAATGTATAGTTATAGATATATTAACATAGACAAACTACTCTAAGCCTATAATGAAGCATTCCTGAAATTGGGGATAGGCTTTTCACAGGCCCGACATAATTATTGAGCAATTTCACTTATAAACTTGGTGATCTCTGCTCACTTACAAGAGACCACCTGTCTAGGTCTAACAAAACCTGTAACTTCAATTAAGGTGGTTTTAAAAACAAAATATCCTCCACATCTGCCCCAAATCCTAGTAGGGAAGGAGAGTGATTAAGAACTCATGCAAGTATATACAGAGGATTTCTACTGTCAGAGTTCCTACATTACAGAATATGCTCCAGATAAATTCTCCTGGCTAAAGACTCTACTAAGCCCTAAGCTATCATCAGGTCCTAGAACCCACAAAAATGTATGGTGGGAGTAAGCATGGAAATGACAACGCATACATGCTCAGGATTCTGGTAAAAGAAAAAATGTCCAGCTCTTGCTCAAAGAAAACAACATAATCCAGTGAATCTTTCTTACATTCCTGGGAACACAGGCTGGTTGCTATAAATGTGTACTGACAGGGAAGTTGGGGAGGCTAGAACACAGGATTCTAAGTCAAAAGGAAAAGATAAAGAGTTTGTAGCATCAATGGGGTTTTCCTGTTAAGAAAAACAAATGATTGTCTACACACACACACACACACAGAGAGAGAGAGAGAGAGAGAGAG